ACACTCAACTATGTCTGCCAGCGTGTCTCAGAACCACTTCTTTCAGCCGACCAGCTCGAAGCAGAGACGCCATCAGCTAGTCTTTCTGCTCCACATCCCGCGGAAAACGTAGCCGAGGTGATTTGCCATTGACAGCTTACTGACATATTCAGTCCAGTGGCGCTGCTAACAGATCTAATGGCCCGTGGTTATCTAGTCGTTAGTTCGCATTAGGGTCTTGGGAGGCGGAAAGGTACCGTATGGTCGACATGCATTACGCCGAGTCAGCCGACCAATCTTCACGTCCAGATTGTAATGGCCATACACTCCAAGAACACTTGATAGAAATGTGAGATAGATGGCGAGACGTAGCAAAGTGGACTCATTGTATGCATCTGCTATCTCCCAAGATTTACGTTCAATGCATCTGATACTCATCCAAAGCCATGCCTTTTGCAATCTTCTTGACCAGGGCTTTTTTCAAGAACTGCTCACGAGCGAGACTTCTCGTTTGCTGTGGTCATGTCAGCTACATCTTCTTTGCAGAAATTTCGCCATGGATACACTTACCTTGACAAATACATCAGTACTAACGCGCCCCTTGTCCAAAGCGCGACCTAGAACGAATAGAGCATCTGCAATACCCTTTTCTTCTGCAGCAAGCGTGTAAAGTTGCCCTCCGACTATCGTAGGCGCTACTAGCACGTCATCAACATCTGGTGCCTTTCTTCTTCGTGCGTCCTCCATGACTCGGTCCGCTTCTACCATGGCGCCTTTCAGCACTTGTTCGTTGTTCGCAAGCGCCGCGTCAAGCTGCTGGAGCTCGCCAAGTTCTGATTGTAGTCGAGAGTAGGCAGCCTGGAGGGCAGCTTGTTGCGCGCGAAGTGGCGCTACCGCAGCCATGTTGGAAGAGACTGTCTGTCGAATCTGCGAAACCAGTGTTTGACTCAAGGCCCGGAGAAGCGCATCTTTTTCAGGGTTTGGAGGAACAGGTGGTACCGGTAAGGGAATCTGGTTGCCAGACTGTGATGGCAAGGTAACTTCGAGCGAGTCATCGAGAAGGTCGATTGGAGGCTTAGGGGCTGGTGGCGCCTGCTGAGGTTGTTGTTGGTACTGCTGAAATTGATGATGCTGTTGTGGCGGGTAACCCTGCGGTGGCACCTGATATTGTTGTGGCGGTTGCGGCTGTCTGTACTGCTGTTGAGGTTGTGGTGGTGCTTGGTACTGTTGCGCTTGCTGGAAATTGGGAGGTTGTGGAGGCCCTGATCTCGAGAACTGGGCAGCTGTTCGCTGGCCATTAGGTGCCATGGGGCTTACAGGGCTGCTGCTTTGTACTGATTGCGGAGGGAAGCCATGCGCATGGGTTTGAGGATGCTGAGGCCCTGAGCCTTGATTGTAACCACCCTGTTGATTCGGCGCATATTGCTGGCTCGGAGGCTGCTGTTGCCATTGTTGCGGCGCATCATATCTGCTGTTCTGATTCTGCTGGTATGGCTGCTGCGACTGTGGATGTTGCGGAGGGTGGGGTGGTAGAGGAGGGGGTTGCGAGTACCGACCCTGTGGCGTCTGAGGTGTGGAGCGGCCTTGTTCGTGGGGTTTCGGTGGCTTTGGAGGAGGCGCTGGAGCTTGATTTGGTGGAACAGGGGACGAAGATGCGCCTGGCATCCCTTGTACTGAGCGACGCCATTCGGCTGGCGGAGGGGGTACTGGAGGCGGTGCTTGTTGCGCAGGCGCATTGTACTGTGGCTGCTGTTGCCTCGATCGCACGGGCGGCTCTTTTGCGAAGACACCTCTTAGCACGGCCAGGAAGTCGAAGAGCGTAGACTTCTGTGCGATTATCAGCTGTCGTGCCCGCAGGTGGAGCGTTCGGCCCATCAGCTCTCACAGCTCATGCAGTACTCACATCCCAGTATTTTGCCCATTGTGCCAGATACGGGTGGTATATTCTACCGTCGGTGCTCACATGTTGTCCAGGTCGCAAGACCATGTCCTGGGCGGGTGTGACGTATACGATGGGTGGTTCTCGAGGGTATGAGTGAGGCACCCATATCGCTACCGGAAAGCCGTATGTCGCGCCGCGAAACGTAACGGGCAACGTGCCGCTGAGCAGCAGTAGGAGCGCTGAAGATCCATTCTCATATGTGTATGGCTCTGTCTTGGGTGCAAGCGACGGGTCTAGACGTTGGTGTCAAGTCAGTCTGCATGTCGTGAAGCTGCAACACATGTGACATACAGTTGGACAGTGCCTCGGCCGCGTCGTGATATGTGCGATTTACGTCTGAGTATTCCTGACTGTTATTAGCGCATGTACAATGTAGCTTCACCGACTAACTTACATTAACGAGTACGCTGTACAGCCAGTTGAGTACTTTGTCGCTGGCCATGTTGTAACTGATCGATGATGGCATACTGGTTAGATGATGGCCATAGAGCACGGTCCATGCCTCTCCCAACATGAACCCCTCAACACCTTGGCAATCCTTCAATGAAATGTGCCTCCATGTGTTACAAAGTCCCAAGGTTATACGCCATATGCCTTTGCACTCCGTACATCACTCAAGTGTGTGGACCCTGTCAGGTACGTGAACAAAGTCAAAAATGTTTTGCAAATCGTTATATATGCTCAATACAATTTATATGTAGAGCTATTGCGTATGTTACAAAGCTATGTAATCGTGTTTCTCGTAACCGCTTCAGCGAGCGTGGGCAGAATATGTGCCAAAGAATGTACGTCATTATACTATACAAGGTCCTCCAGGGTATCAAACAACTACTACGCTCAATGTTGACTCCACTCAATCGTGTTGAGGTCAACACCCTCCTGCACGAGTTCCCATAACGGACTCAGCTCGCGGAGGAATGTGACTCGTTCCTTGACCGCCTTCAACACGTAGTCGATCTCAGAGTCTGTAGTGAAGCGTCCGATACCGAAGCGGATACTGCTGTGCGCACTCTCATCGCTGCTGCCAAGCGCGCGGAGCACGTAGCTAGGCTCAAGCGACGCCGAAGTACAAGCGCTACCAGAAGAGAGGGCGATATCTTTCAGTGCCATGAGAAGTGATTCACCCTCAACGTAGGCGAAAGAAACGTTAACACACCCAGGGTAATGTCGCTCCCTGTCACCATTAAGTGTGGTGTGCTCGAGTGATAGCAGGCCTTCGAGGAGACGGTTCGACAGCGCCGAAATGCGCTTGGTGTCATACTATTTGTGGTCAGCAATGCCCAGACTGGTGAATGATGTGACCAAAATAATGCGTAACAAAGAACTCATAACCCCTGCACATTTGTCAACATGGCGCGTCGACGGCCGAAGCCGCCTAACACTCTGAAAGCCATGCATGTCGGAAGCAAATAATCATAGTGTTCATGAAAGTGAAAAGAGAGTGTACGTACCTCCATCTCCTCGTTGCAAATCCGTGCGGCTTCGCCCATGCCGATGACAAGAGGAGGTGCGATTGTTCCACTTCGCAGTCCTCGCTCTTGACCACCGCCACTGATGATGGGGTCGAGCCTGACCCTAGGCCGTCTTCGTACATAGCACGCGCCAATGCCTTTGGGTCCGTAGATCTTGTGGCCTGATATCGACATCAAGTCGACGTTCATCTTGTTGACGTCAAGGGGGATCTTGCCGACAGCTTGCGCCGCATCGGTGTGGAAGAAGACCTTCTTCGATCGGCAGAGCTTTCCAATCTCCTCGACAGGTTGTACAACACCAATCTCGTTGTTGACGGTCATGATGCTGACAATGGCGGTATCGGGACGCATCGCGGCCTCGAGCTGGGCCATGTCGATGAGACCGTTGTTTCCTACTGGCAGGTAAGTGACGGAGAAGCCTTCATCTTGCAAATGTCTACAGCTGTCAAGCACACACTTGTGCTCTGTCTGTGCTGTGATGATGTGCTTCTTCTTGCCGCTTCGCCCAAAAAAGCGAGCGACACCCTTGATACTCATGTTGTTACTCTCAGTAGCCCCGCTGGTGAAGATGATCTCCTTTGGGTCCGCGCCGATGAGGTTGGCAATGTTGGCGCGGGCGTCCTCTACGGCTTTGTCGGTCTCCCACCCATACGCGTGGGTTCGCGAATGGGGGTTACCATACATGCCGGTCATGTAGGGCATCATTTTGTCTACTACGCGCGGGTCCATGGGGGTTGTGGCTTGCATGTCTAGGTAGATGGGCCGTGAGCCCTGATCCATGACGGTTGCCTGCTTGAGAATGCCTGGATTGTGTCAGCTTTGCGGAAAGCGGGGTGGCGTGGACATTGGAGCTCACCAGCAGTAGGACTCATCATGGCATCAGCGCCCATGCCTGTTGTTGGCATGGTTGCATCCTCTGCTCTTTCTCCCGTCTCCTTGAGGAAACTGCGCTGCTCCTTCTTGATGGCTGACTCGAGAGGAGAGCCGTTGGAGACGGTAGCCTGTGCCGGCTTGGACTCTGAGACATAGTGCCGGCGGATGCTAGAAACACGAGAAAACGCAGATGAAGGGTATCGACGAGAGGCAATGCGCAGGGCCTGCCTCGCGACGGTGGGTGCAATATTAGACATGATGGAAAGGTAGTGGGAAAATTAAGAACGCAAATTGCCTCCCGAGGTATTAGAAGCTATGAAGTTTTAGCGCCTAGATCTGCTGCTTAGCTAAGCCCACCAGCGCTCACGATCACCCACCACCTCCACTCGTCATCGTTCATTGTCTGCATCCAGAAAGAGATAGTCATTCACGCGTCGGCGCGTTGTTTGCAGCATTTAGTTTTGCCCTGCCGTTTCTTTCCCTGCAGCCGACTGTTCACTCTTGGCGTGAGATAATCGTACTCGCTTTCGTACTTGCTCGGCGCTCCGTGACATCCGGCAGATTCTAGGGAGTGCTGCATAGCCACACGCGACGTCATCGTCGAGGTTTAGCAGCCACGCCGGCGCCCGCATCGTTCGGTCGCTTCCTGCTGGTCTACAACTACAGTCCCCACGGCCTCTCCTAATCCCTACTGTGTATCAATCTCGAGCAGACTTACGGAATATACCCCCACCATGAGTTGGAAAGGCCTAACAAAGACCGTTACCCGGGTACGACAGGCAACCTCACATGCCATTTGGGCATCAAGTCCCGCTAACATCTCGGATTAGGCGCCGCAAACCTTCAAGCAAAGGTTCAACCTCGTATGTATCCTGCAAGCGTTTCTAGAGGATCCCCCGTCTACGCGCCTGCTTCCGAGCGAGATTGAGCATCGCTAAAGCGCGTACACAGGGCGAAATCACAAAGGACCCCATCTACATCGATGCAGAACGTCGCTTCCAAGAGCTGGAGAAGGAGACGAAGAAGCTCCATGAGGAGTCTAAGAAGTATGCGCCTTTGCGACACAGCTGTACTCGATGTCTTGGCTAACATGGGACAGGTATTTTGAAGCCATAAATGGTGCGTAGACTAGATGTAACCCTTTCGTCGTTCGGCCTAACCCACCTCCCAGGCATGCTCTCACATCAGATGGAGTTCTCCAAGGCCATCGCCGAAATCTATAAGCCCATTTCCGGCCGAATGTCAGATCCCGATTCGTTCCACGACGAAGGCAACACGGCAGGCATAGAAGCATGCGAAGAATACGAGTCGGTCGTTAAGGAACTACAAGAGACTCTTAAGCCCGAGCTTGAGATGATAGAGTCCCGGGTCATTCGTCCGGCGGACGAGCTGCTAGTCATTATCAAGGCCGTACGAAAGATCGCCGCCAAGCGCGACCACAAGCAACTCGACTATGACAGGCATCGCGCTACGTACAAGAAGCTCGAGGAGAAGAAGGACAAGACACTCAAGGACGAGAAGGCCATGTACAAAGCTGAGAACGACGTAGAACTCGCGACGCAGGACTACAACTACTTCAACGATTTGCTAAAAGACGAGCTACCGAAGCTGTTCGCACTGGAGAGAGAGTTCATCAAGCCTCTGTTCCAGTCCTTCTACTATATGCAGCTGAATGTTTTCTACACATTACACGAGCGCATGCAACGGCTTGATATCGGCTACTTCGATCTTACACTAGATATTGAGGCCGCCTACCAGAAGAAGCGCGGCGACACACAGGAAGAAGCAGAGAAGATTTCTATCGTCAAGTTCAAGACTACAGGTGGCGCTCGTGTCGCTGGTGCACGACCGGGGCAGTCAAAGTACGCAACGAAAGCACTTGAAGCCAAGGCAGGCCGAAGCTCGATATCGGAAGACACAGAAACACCTCCACCACCTTACTCTGCTGGGCCTTCTGCAGCTGCTGTTGGAGATGTTAAATCGCCAACCCTGTCGACAGGATCATGGGGTTCTGCTGCCAAAGCCAAAGGCGCTCCTCCGCCACCCAAGCCTAAGCCTTCACGCCTCAGCGGCGTACCCGCGACAGAAACCGTTACAGCTCTCTACGACTACGAGGCACAAGCGGAAGGCGATCTTAGTTTCTTGACTGGCGACGTAATAGAAATCGTCTCAAGGACGCAAAACGACAATGAATGGTGGATTGGAAAGGTACGGGGGAAGCAGGGACAATTCCCAGGTATGTACTCACACTTCTTTGAAAGAGCGTTTACCCTAACCATTCTACAGGCAATTACGTCAAACTGAACCAATAGTCGAGGCTCAGTCCGCCGTCTCCTACCTTTCGCTTGCGAGGTCATACATGTTGAAGCATGGTGATACCATTGTTGCGTTTACAGCATCTTCTGGGGTTTTACGTTAGAGTTATGTGCTATGCTGATTTGAGCGATCGGCGGTTTAGCACATTGGCTTGCATTGATCAATCTAATCTTCAATCCTATTCTCGGTACCATCTTCTTCAAGCCACCAGTTCACTTGGTTCACACATTCGCGCTTTGTGTTCGTATCTCTGGCATGCAATGTATAAGATGCTTAGCGTACTCGGTGCGGGGCCTGTTCCGCCGCACCCCGCATGACGTTGATCGGAGACATGGAACCCTAGAAACCTTGCAATCATCCGAACGTGCTCAGGGGTGTCGAGACATCACTAATACTACTAATCGATTCCATCTTTTCGACCACGTCTCCAATGCATTGGTAGAAACATCATCCATTTTATATATAATACATCCACTATGCCTTACGAATCGGCGATAACCTTTACACTCGACACGATATGTCCCTGGTATGTTCACTTCTCTTCATGATTGATTGATCCTAACTGTAGTATGGGACATATCTTGGCTTCATCCGCCTCACCAAAGCACTTGAAGCATACCGCACAGCGAACCCCGACTCACCAGCAACTTTCACCCTCAAACTAGCTCCATACCAACTCTACCCCGACGCCACTCAAGAAGGCGTCGACAAGTATGAATGGTACAAGAACGAAAAGTACCAAGGCAGTGAAGAGCGGATGAAGATGTACATGGCCGCCATGGAGGATCTAGGTAAAGCTGAGAACATCAAGTTTGACTTTGGAGGTGGCATGCTAGCGAATACCCTGCATGCCCATCGTGTATTGCAGTATTTGCAGAACAACAAAGAGCAGGGACTTCAGCTAGAGGTTTTGAAATCGCTGTACACACAGTACTTTGAGCAGCGCGCTCATCCGAGCAGTACTGAGACACTTAAGAAGGCGTGTGTAGCAGCTGGGATGAGTCAAGATGAAGTGGAGAAGTTGGTGGGAAACGGTGATGAAGAGTTGAGGGAGACAAAGGCAGCGATTCAAGAGCAGGCTGGGAACGGTGTGGATAGTGTGCCGTATGTTATTTTCGAGGGGAGGAAGAGGGATTTCACGCTGATTGGGGCGAAGAGTGTGGCGGAGTATGAGAAGGTGTTAGGGCAGGTTGCTAAGGAGTGTGCGTAAAAGGAATGACACCTTCGGTCGCTTGTGGATAGACCCTACAAATATGCTGATAGACCTGACCAGTGATAAAACTCAATCCATCTCCTTGCAATGCGAACCATCAAGGAACCAAACCTAGTTTCGAGAAGGAACTCGATACCTTTCCTTACGGCGCCTATACACTTTCTCGCCACGCGGACTAATTGAGATTCGAACTCGTATAGAAAGAGAGAAAGCGTGATGACCAAAGAGAAGATCTGGTCCATTTCTCCAATGCTTTGTGGCGCACATGGAACAAAACAACATCTTTTCCTTGGGCACAAATCTCCACTGAGGAGCGAATTTTCGGGGTTACGGAACTGTAACTGCGGTTTAGCCCAATAGCGAAGCGCCCAATTGAGAATTGCCCCGAAGACGCACATTCTGGCTAAACCCGGAGCGCGGTCGACACCATTGTACCTCCACCACCAAAGTATTTTGACCCAACTGGAGATTAGCGTCGTGAGGCCTGGCAAAAGACTTCCCGGTAGCATGATGACTCCGAGTCGATCAAAGCTGATCCAAATACTTGCGTACCAGATCGCTCCTATCGGAAGCACTAATCCGACAGATACTATGAAACGGCGTCGCTTGATAGGTTCCTTGGGATCGAAATTTGGTTGTCGCTCTTTGTAGAAGCACGCAATGATCTGCATCGTGGCCGTTTGGATACCCACATGTACAACCGCAACAGCAGCTGCCAGCATTTGTCGCCTAGCTTCGTCCACTTCAACTGGATTACTTTCCCAGTCTATCTTATAATGTGGAACATCAGGGCTGAGTCGAACCACCGAAGAGATTTTTTCCTCGTCTATAGCCAAATTCAACTGGCGTATGAGGTTGATCGCAGCGAAATTTGTATATAACGCATATCCGATGAAGTGCATGTTGTGCGTGTAGTCATTTTGAATGGTGTTTATCCATGAGATCGCTAGGGTAATGATCCAGGCAGCCCATGGGCCAGGGCCATAGAAACCGCTGATCTGGGGATTGTTGGAAGATGGCAGGGACATTTCGACGACATGGGCTGGAGCGTCTGTTATGCTGTCCGAAATAATGCGAGGAACTGGTATTGCTTTCGATTCTTGATAGGCTTCGCTGGTGTGGCGGTCTCGCTCGTACCCAGGGAGTGATTCGTCGTGAAGTAACGGTACCTAGGTAGCAAGCTCGGTCGGATGCGGTAGGTGGCACCATGTAGAGGCTAACAGACTCCAACATGCGTCGAAAGACCAAGATTTGTACAGAGGATCGTGCCAAACTTTTACCAAGATTCGCGTGCGCGGCAATGTGGAATACAAGAAAGGGTTTCTTGTGTCCTTCAGCGGAGGTCTAGCCTCGTCGCAAGGCATGTGGCTTACGCTCAGCCTCACCCGCTAAAGCGTGGGGGCTGTGTAATCTCGACCGTTATCGGAACGCCCTCATCAAAACCTATTACAAGAAGGGAAAGCCTCTTTGAGATTGCGCATCAGTTCAACGTATCGTCCAAATGTTGACATTAAAGTGCGCATGACCTGGAGGGGACGGAATCGAGCACTGCAAGAGGAGGAGAGTACCACCGATTCTGATATATTAGTAGCTACTGCATAAACATATCGAATTATCTAGGTGTCTTTCACAACCTATGCGAACCGAACTCTGTCAGCATTCAACAAACTGGAGCCCTGGTTCAACTGCCTACATAGGTACTTTCGCAGGCCATGACTGTTTTGAAACCAGATTAGTCTCGAAAACCATTGTTCTATACACATTATATCTAAGACACACATAAAAAGCCGGTACATCTCGGAGTCAAGCTCTATCAATTACGCTCCTCCATCTGCACCTCCCAAGCCCTGGGTCTCATCCTAGAGGTTTACTCACATCCTCGACCCAGTTTCAATGAACTGGAACAGTGGCCGAAGTGAAGATATTAGCGACTCCGATGACCAGCCATCTGCAATATTGGTGTACGTAGAGGCTTGACAAGAACTGCTGCCCCACTTCTTACCAGGCGAAACATTCCAGCCCCGAATTCGTAGAGAAAGAAAACAAGTGCGACAAGCAAGGTAAATGCCTGGTCCCATTCTCCAATACTCTGTGGTGCGCATGGGACAAAGTAACATCGCGCACCGGGTAGCATACATTCAAGATAAACCTCATGGGTCCCTCTCCACCTAGTGTAGTTGGGAAGTGTGCTCAAAATCACCACAACCAACATTATTACCAAGTAAATATGGAAAGTGATGTGAGGGGGAATGGAACGAGGCGACGAATGGCCGCCCAAGGCGTGAGCCGCAACGCTAGCTGCAACGCAAGCCACGATGAGAATGCCAAAGACAAGACATATAGATACACCGATTTCTAACTCATAGTAAGAAAGTGAGCCAAAGCATATCATACAAAGGGGAAGTATCGATCCAACACTCAAATACATGCGCCGTACTGCGCTCAGACGCTGGTTACGTGTGCTTTTATACTCTACGATGTAGATATAGACCAGCATCTGCCCGACAGCTTGACATGTTCCCACGTTCATTACTGCGATAGAAGCGATAGTGTTTTCCAATCGTGCCTGCTTTGCTGCCGAGCAATCACTGTTGTCGCCTGGGTCACGATTGACTTGGCGTATAAAATCGATCGCAGCCCAGTTCGTGTATAGCGCATACCCAATAAAGTGGAGGTTGTGTGTATAATCGCCTTGGATGACGGGTATCCACGATGCTACCATCGTGATAATCCACGCAGCCCAAGCACCAGGGCCGTAGAAACCGCTGATTTGTGAGAAGTCGGGCGGCGCCTGCTCCATTTTGGTGACGATGACTGGCATGGTGAAACCAAATTTGGGTCGAGGACGAGAGACAAATATCAACCCTCGTAGGATCTGCGTAGAATACGACGTTGTTTGGGATAGTTAGGATGGCAGTAGGTTACAATCGATACCGAGAGACGTGCGGATCTTCAGCTGTGGGACGGCCGATACATAGGGATTAGTCGTATTCCAGCTAATACTCGGTCTGACGTGACTTCGTTGTATATGTTGTGTAGCAGGAGGCTTCGCCCAAGGTATTCCGGTCGATGCTGATCTGTTGAAGGCGAAGTAGACCGTTCACGTGTTCCAGATAGTTGGTGTGTTGGATATGGTTTCTCAGAGGCGCTTCCTAAGTTGTCGCTTCGCCGGACGAGATGAATTGGAAAAAGCGTGAATGGTGGAGTACAGATGCTCAACGCAAGGTAACCCCAGAGCTACTGAAGGCGAAACAGCTTAATTTGAAAGGCTGAAGAACATAGCACAAGGTGTGCGAAAGGCTGGTCGTGTTGAATCCAGCCTGACGATGACATGGACGTGCGTGGCTGAGCACAAGCCAGATCTGCAAGGCGTGCAGGCTGTGCAGCCTTGGAACTTCTCCAAGTGCTAACGCACGACAACTAAATCGACGACTATGAAAGTAATCCTTCGAGTATGTTGCGTAGGCTCATCTTTTCGTCGCGGGAGGCCGGTAGTAGAACTATTCATTTATCACTAGCAATAAGCCAAACAAAGGACATACCGCAAAACAGTATAGACCTAACTTCAAGCCCTATTCCCATCCGGTGAACCCCCGTCACTTTCATTCCCATCCTGCTTCCCTCTACCCCCTCTCCTCTTCATCCTAAACCAACCGCCAACGCCTCCCTCCCCTCTCCTCTCCGCCCCCAGCTCACCATCCCTCTCTTCCATTCCCACAACGACCAACTGCTCCCCCTTCCTCTTGACAATCCAATCGACTCGCATATCCCTCTTCTGCGGCCCTTCTTGCGGCAAGCCTCTAAACAGTCCGTCCTGCGGTGGAGAATGGTAGCCTAGGATGAACAAGACGAGAGGTTCGCAGATGTCGGTGATGAGGCGGATGCGCAAGAGGACTGCGAAGTAGATAAAGATGAAGATATTGATGAGGAGAGTTAGAGCGAGGACTACCAACAGAGCCTGGGTAGTGGTGTTAGCATAGATGTTCAAAATTATGGATGGAGGGGAACGTACCTTCTGATAGTCCTTCTCACCACCGGACATGTACTGTGCTACTCTTACAGAAGCATTAAAGTTTTGCATCTGCGGTTGATCAAACTTTCCATCCGTAGTGAAAGGAAAATCCTGCGTCAGATCCAAAACTGTACACGTCGTCATACTCAATAGCGCCTCCGCGGGACTCGGCAACGTTTTGTTCAGCTTGGGCTCGGTAAGCTGTAGTTGGGTAAATATACGTGCTGTTGACGCATCACCATCAAAGACGCCGTTGTTCAGACTGAGAGAGTTGAGGAGGTTGAAGCCTAGTTCGCGCCAGCCGACTAGAGCGGCTTTATCACCATTGGAACGGAGGGGTTGGATAGAGGCGTCCCCGCTGATATTCCCGTGTGGGCCGTCACAGACGGCCTCGAGGCTTTGACCGCCGGAGGAGGCGTTGTAGCGTGTGGTGCAGGAAGTTGTAATGCCGGCTTTCATGGAGCAGAGGAAGTAGTCCTCGGTGGTATTGTCGGGGGCTTTGCCGAGGAGGTATACCTCTGGTCTGTCACCCTCTTCGTATGGGACTTGGGTGTGGTTCGCGATTGTGTTTCCTGCCTTGGGATACTTGAGAAATATGGGTCTAGCCCGAGAATGATCTTCTGTCTCGTCTTTCCAACCAAAAATGTCATCAAGTACCGTTTTGTTGTTTGTGTTAGTTCCCGCTGGAAATCCCAAGATAGGCCACCAGTTCACCGACTTGGAGCCTTCTTCCATAGCGATCGCATTGGGCCAGTTCTTGTATATAATTGGAGCCAGCTCTTCCTCTTTCGCATTGACACATAAGGCATTGATCGCAAAGCTTGCGACTGATGCGTGAACAGAGTATGAGCCGCCATCGTGGAGATCCTAGGACTGTGAGCAGGGTGATGATCTGGGACTCCGGATACACTTACTTCCGGTTGCAACAAATCATTCTGGGTATTGCGAGCTGCAGCTGGAATGCCTCGATGAGGCACAGCTATAGTGATGTTGTTGACTGCAACTGGTTAGCGACGTCAAGGTAGGAGAGGAATAGCTACGTACTTATTCTCCCCGCCTTCTCGGATTCAGTCGCGACGTCATGATGGTCCAGCCATGCAGTAGTAACAGTAACGTTATTATCTAGCGACGCACTAATCCGCTTGCGTTGCAGAAGGTCCTCAGACATCCAAGGAGGGTTCGAGGCTGCCGCTGAGTCGTCCCAGGCTGACATGTATTTGACAAAGTTTCGACCACAGAGCGATGACCATTTCATGGCAAGACACGTGCTACCACCCCATTGATCATCGCCCACGTCAGGCCAGGCGGTCAGGCAAGTCTTATCGGCCTTTAGGGTACTGGAGAAGTCACCATCTACCTGACCGACCATCATCTGTTTTTCCCATGGTGGAAGACGTAGTTGTGGTTGCACTGTGGGTACATTAGCGGCTTATACTGATAACTCCTAGGTGGCCGACATACCAAGTGCACCAGTTGCCGTGGTATATAGTAAGGAAAGAACGGCAGTGATCAGAGAGAGTACTCCCAGGAAGCTGAAGCCGGCAACCCTAACGCTATGCCATTCACTGAATAGTCTCCCTGGCTGGCTTTAAATGCGGTTAGCCATCATGAGCGCTGGTACCCGAGCCGTTGTCGACTTACAGAATCCAAGACCGCATCTCCACGCTGGCCAAATTAAGGCCCTTTTGCTGAATAGCTCTTCTCGACAGGACCTGCCCTATGAATGCCAAGAACACCATCACAAACGACAACTCTACGGTCTTGGCGATGAAGGCCGTCAATAGCGCCGCCGAGGAAGGGCTAAAGCGCCCGCGCGCCGATACGACATGGCCGTATTTAGGTTGGACTAAGGCGACGATAAAAAACAGGGCTGAACATAGAGTTGAATACAACGACGTCATCAAAAGACTGACTGAGTATCCATTTCGTCGTGGCTCGAGTAGGCCCTGAGTGTATAAAAGTGGTAACATGCTCCTCGAACTATCTAACCAAATTAAGCATTTCAACCAAGTACGGTTGGGTGTTGGGCTTACTTTTGGATTCAGCAGTAAAGCTTGTCATGCTCCGTCCATCTTGAGACGGTCTAAGAAAGGGGTTCTCGGGCTGTTCATTTCGCGGGCTTGGTTGTGGACTCGTCATGGTGTTGAGTTGATAGTCTTGGAAGCGACCATCAGGTAGACCCGCTATAAAACAAATTAAAGGAAATCGAAGATAAGCGAAGGATGCTACGCCTTAGAAGATGCAGCGCAGGTCGTAGAGGCTGTGCGGTGAGATCAGGCAAGCTGTGATTATTTTAGTGGTTTCAAAGCGGCCGAGCGGCGGTGCTATGAGCCCCACGTCAGCGCCGTTGATCTCATTCTAGCAGATCACACAATCGGACATTCCGAAAAATGAAGAATACGATGTAAATCGTCTAAATGCCATTATTTGTGATCTAACATATGCTTGAACTTTTCGATCTGTCTCAATGTCAGCATTTGTCGCGATTGCATATGTCGCGAAATGACGTGAGCTTACCTTGGTACTAAGATACTTCTCTACTTCTTCGCTCTTGATTCCCTTCATACCACCTGTTTTCCAGGCGAGCGGAACCATAGCTACGCGCTCTCTTACTACGACTTCTCTATTCGGGCCCTCTACCGCATGGACTTTATCTGGGTTGTTGGTCAAAAGTCTTATGCCTTTGTCTCCATCTAAGCCCAAGTCCATCAGCATAGCCGTAGCTAGACCGTAGCTGCGCGCGTCTGCGGGATGCCTTAACATAATATTCGCTTCATATGTATCGTTGCCTAGATCTTGCAGGTTGTATGCCTTCAGCTTCTCGCCTAGACCAATTCCGCGGCCCTCTTGGCGAAGGTAGATAATAGCGCCGCCGGAAGGTGAGAGAGTGGGATCTGCCATCAGCCGCGCGGCTTCGTCTAGTTGCTCGCCGCAGTCGCAGCGCGCAGACCATACAGTCTCACCAGTATAGCATTCGGAGTGTATACGGACGAGAGGTAATTCTAGTGAGGAGGCTGGCAGGACGTCTCCATTTTCTGAGGATGATGCGGACGCTGGCGACAACAGCCCATTGCTCTTGTGCGCATGATCCGAGTCAGACTCTGGCTTGCGCTTTGTAGGGACGCCTTCCGCCCTCTTGAGCTGCTCAACCCGCGAGCTGATTCGCCCCGGGTACAAGCGTCCTACATATGCGCCTCTTGTCATACGGTCCAATTCCGTCTCCCCAGGCCGCTCTGCATCTAGTGATCTAGAGCGTATTTGGTTTCCAAAAACAATTGCAAGATGCTCCTTGGTGTCAACGCTGTTCCTGTACACGTGCAACCACATCTCGTGCCCAGTAGTTGTGGGTATCCGCGCGCGCACTTCGCACTCCACTTTGGGCAGCTGCGGCAGTAGATCTGGTCGCGGCGTGTCGGTGCGCACTGAGGTATCGACTGGTATGGAGCGGGGCGGTCGGGGTTGCGAGGGTGTCGCGCCCCCGGGTGTCGCTGGGGGCGTAAAGGCAGGCGATATTATTGAGGGCGGCGGGTTGTGGTGCGCATCGTCATCGTTCGCGACATGTTCCGGTGTCTCTGACTTTAGCTGTGACGTCTGGAAGTCGAAGCCCTCTCGCCCGGCGCTCGAAAGGTGTGGAGAGAAATGTGGTGGAAAAGCTGTCATGATGGAGTGGTAGATTGTACGGGGCAGCAAGCGAAAATGGAAGGTAGAAATTCTACTAAGGCAGTCGCACACCAAGTGAGATTGAAGGCGTGCAGGTGGGAGTGATGTTACTCTAGAGTCTACTGTGGGGTCGAGTCACTCATGACATATCCGAAGCCGCTGCTCGGATGTCGTTAATTCGGACCCGCCGACATGTAGCCGCGGCTGCGCAAAATCACTAAGCACCAGGGCAGCGCCTCTGTCAGCGATTAGGAATCGGAAAGAAAATCTCCGACATGGCTTCTGTGAAATTGCATCCATTGTGGCCGGACTCTTCAGCCGCCATGCAGGACTCCCGCACAAAGACGCACCGAATTATGGTCGGTCTTCGGAGAAGTCCCTGCATTATCTTGGACTCGGTCGTAGATTTACACCATGAACATGGCGTCATCCAACGCCCCCATGACACCAACTACATACTACGAGCACGTGCCGCATGACCACCATTCTCCAACATGTCATATCAATCAATCAATCAATCCACTCGACGCTCTCTGCCCCAGACCTCATCCGCATTCTTCTTGCCCTTGGTCTCAGGCACATACCAGGTAATGAAGGCAAAGAAGAAGGCCGATAGTGCAGCAAAGATGAAGTAGACATGGCCGTGCAACTTGGCGCTCGCCAACGGAAAGAACTGTGCGACAATAAATGTAGCAATCCAGTTGGCTCCGAGCGCAATACTCTGTGTTGCGTCAACAGCATCCGGGCCTACCAGCTCGCTCGCCAGGATGAAGGGCACCGGGCCAAGACCAACGGCGAAGCCAGATACAAATAGCAGGACAGCGACGGCGGAGAGGACAGAGATCGACTTGATGATGCCAATGGCGAGCAGGAGTGAGCTCATGCCCATGATGGCAAGGGAGCTAAGCAGGCAGACCTTGCGACCCAGCTTGTCTGCCAGGGGCGCACAGCTGGCTGTAACGATGATGTTGAGCGCTGAGACGGCAAGATTGAGAAGTGCGGAATTGGACTCGAGTAGACCTGCCAGAAGCGAGACACCGTACATGACAATGCTGTTGATGCCGCTGAACTGCTGGGCCAGCATAACCATGACGACAGCGATGGCAGCCTTTTGGTAGTCAGGATGGCGGAAGACTTGCGCAATGCTGAGCGTCTGTTCTTTGCCCGACTCTTTTGGCCTCGCATCAGCTGACCCATCTTCGTTGCTCAACAGGGTCTGTTCCTCCTCTGGGTAGTTGTTAGCATATGATGTAAACCCAGCAATTTACTTGATCAACTTACCACTGACATTGCCTGAGCCCGAGACACCCCAGTCGTTCATTTCATCTTCAATATCTGCATGTTCTCCTCTGATCTTGCGCAGCGTCTTCTTCGCGAGCGAGACATTACCCTGCTCTGCAATGTACTTTGGGCTCTCGACCGACAATAGCAGTCCCACGCCTTGTACAGCCCCGATGACACCACCAATGGCCAAGATGAGCCTCCAGTAGGAGTCGTGGCTCAAGAAGTATCCCAACAACTGCGTGATCAGGATGCCCACGTTGCACCCAATCTGTGTGAAAGCACCAAAGAAGCCCTTCTCGCCCGGCGGCGAGATCTCAGAGATGTACAGGGGCACAATGACGACAGACGCGCCTGCACCCACTCCTGACAGCAACCTTCCAAATGCCATAACACCAATGTTTGGACTTAGCGCCTCGAAGATGGGGCCCACGGCGAAGAAGATGGTAGATATCTGCATGGCCCTAAGGCGCCCGTATTTGCCTGCCAGCGGTCCTGCCGAAAGCGCTCCCATCAGACCTCCCAGTGTGTACAGCGACCCCACAACACCCCATTCGGTTGGGCTCATTTCGATGCATTGCGGGAGGCTGGGGCCAGCGACAGCAGACTTGATCGACTTTCGTTTACAGCGGATGACATCTTCGGGCGCGTTAAGCTCAGACTGGGCGTGTTAGCTATGCGCCGGTAATAGATGACGCTGAGTCCCACCAAATGGAAGCCGAAGAGAAGCGGGCCGAGAGTCGCAACGGACAGGATGTAGACGAAGTAGCCCGTCAGGCTGCTGAACCACGAACGCGGGTCCATGGTGGGATTCTACGGTGGTAGAGGTGGGAGGTAGTTTGGAGTGTCGCTGGAGCTTGGAGGACGTGTCAGCCGCCTCGTAGAACGTGACATCGGAATGACGATGATGCACCGCACCTACCTATGTGGGCAGCTCAGACAAGAGCGATAAGCTGTTCCGTCTATGCCCTGAACATGAGGCTTTGTCGCAGAGCTTGGGGTTTCACGGTCGTCACATTGCTAGTGCAAGCTTGGACAAGGGACAGGCGGAATCAAGTGGTTGGCTCCAAGACTGAGGCTCTGCGGGGAGCCATGCTGCGTCGTCGCTCTATGATACATGCTTGAACCTCTCGTCCTCCACCTGTGAACCTCTAGACTCCAAGCCAGATTCTGTACCCATCATTCTGCGCGTCTTTCGGCATCGCAGCTTGCCATTGCGGATCGCGTCCCACACCTGCAAGGGCTCACCGGAGAAGTTCCGCTGGCGCGTCGTGGTCGTGGCCATCTGCCGCGTCCGGCGTGGAGACATCAGCTACGCGAGAGGCTGAGGCAGGACATGGCGAAAGCATGAGCCAGCTCGACAACTCCTCCCCGCCGGCCTCGTCGGCTTCTGCTGCGGCATCCACCCGGGCCCCATCGCGCAAGAACAGCCTGGCGACAGCTTCCGACGGTACGCCTCTGCTTTCTTTCCGTGTCCATCAGTCATCGTTTCCTATATGCTAGCCTTTCTTTTTCCCCCAGCCTCCACTCAAGCCATCGTCGCTTCACTTCCCTGATCTGGCGCCCCTTGGCCAAACGTCGTAGCCTGCGTGATTGTTGTTCCTGCTGTCAGCAATTGCCGCTCGTGTCCGCATCACCCCTTGTTGACGTTGCTGGACCCTTTGCATTTCCCACTGTTCCATCACTTTAGCGTCTAGAACCGAATACTAAACCTGTTCCTGAAGACTCGGCAGATCCCGTTTATGCCATGTTTACTGGATACAACAACAAGAAGCGAGTCACGGAGCGCTACAAGATTGTAGGCTTCATCAGCAGCGGTACCTATGGGCGAGTCTACAAAGCCGAAGGCAAGAATGGCCGCACTGGCGAGTTTGCCATCAAGAAGTAAGTCGGAACGAGTCTTGCCACAATGCATGCTAACATGCCCAGATTCAAGCCGGACAAAGAAGGCGAACTTCAATACTCAGGCATCTCGCAATCCGCTATACGAGAGATGGCACTATGCACTGAGCTCGCACATCCCAATGTCGTGCACACCGTAGAGATCATCTTGGAGGACAAGTGTATCTACATAGTCTTTGAGTATGCCGAGCACGACTTGTTACAGATCATCCACCACCATAACCAGCCCCAGCGACAGGCCATACCCGCGCCAACCATCAAGTCTATTCTCTACCAGCTCTTGCAGGGGTTGGTCTATCTGCACCGCAACTGGGTCATGCACCGGGATCTCAAGCCAGCCAACATCATGGTCACTAGTGCTGGCAAAGTCAAGATAGGCGACTTGGGTCTTGCCCGCCTGTTTTACAAGCCGCTGCAATCTCTCTTCTCAGGCGATAAGGTCGTCGTGACGATATGGTATCGCGCACCTGAGCTTCTTCTTGGTAGTCGTCACTACACTCCTGCAGTTGATCTTTGGGCTGTGGGATGTATCTTCGCCGAACTGTTATCATTGCGACCTATCTTCAAGGGAGAGGAAGCAAAGATGGACAGCAAGAAAACTGTCCCATTCCAGCGCAATCAGATGCAGAAAATAGTCGAGATCATGGGCATGCCCAGCAAAGACCGATGGCCTCTACTGACGGCTATGCCTGAATATCCTCAGCTGTCGTCTCTCGCCTCAGGCAACGCTGCACGATTTTCCCGACCCCAGGGTGGCGATGGTCTGGAACGATGGTATCACCAGACGCTCAACAATAACCAGTATCCAATAGGATCCGGGCCGGATACACCTGGACCCGAAGGACTCTCTTTGCTCAAACAGCTCCTCGAGTACGACCCCCAGAAACGACTCACAGCGGAGAAAGCGTTGTTACATCCTTACTTTACCATACATGGCAAGCCAGCCGACAGCTGTTTCGAGGATTCGAAGATCAAGTACCCCGTCAGAAGGGTCAGCCAGGAGGACAACGATATCCGCACGGGTAGTTTACCAGGTACCAAGAGGAGCGGACTTCCAGACGATTCGATCATTGGACGTCCTGCGAAACGTCTCAAGGAAGGATGAAGATGCTCGACGCGGTGATTTCGTGCTGCTCGATAATGTGTACGGACGATGCGATGCAGTTTCCCGTTTGTACGTACTGCCACCGTCGTTGCGGCAAATCTATCCCTGGTTCTCGGCATGGTGCTACATGGCTGGACCCATGAGTAGTGGCCTTGGCAGTGGAAACGGCTTTGTGCGAGTCCTCATCTTACACAAGCGTCCTGGAACCCTCTCGACCCTAGTCCTGACGTAGCACGGACACGACGGCAATCTGACAATATGCTGGCTCTAATCGACCGAATGAGGGGAGGCCGTTTCCGAGGACAACGCAGGGGCAATGTGTCCGACTGGGAGGTGCAAACCATTCTGTTGCATCTGTCTAGCTGGAACCATGTTGTGGAGCCCCTGGAAATGAAGCGTAAAGCAAGTAATACTTCTTGTCTGCCTACAACCCCGCCCTTTTTAGCGTGCTGGCAGTAGAACAGTGAAATAAGAGAAGTGTGCAGCGCCTTTGCACCTGGATCGCGCTACAGGCGGTAGCGATAGAACCCACGATTTTACGTTAGCCTCGCTCGCCGTAATATATACAACGAGGGGAAGACAGCCTGTCAAAGGCAGCCACTAAATACAAGTACGACGTTTCTCGACCCTAAATTACCCCCGGTACCACTTGGATCGAGCGAAATACCCAAGATGATGAAATGGTCACGTCCAAGTCCTGGTGGTCGAGCAAGGGATGTTCTCTTAGGCATTGATACTACACACCTGTCTCCTTAGTTCTTTCTCTACCAATTGAATTGTGCTGTCCAGAGAGCATGCGGACTTGCGCTGTGCATGGGCACTTGGCCCTACTGTAGTCACTCTTCACGAACGCCACTTTGCGTGCTTGTGCTTCCTTCAACCTTCACATGTCTATTTTGTGCGTTGCTCTAACGGCATATGGCATTACAGCTAGCGTAGCGGGCTCCACGAGGTGACGACAGAGAGGCAGTGGTGTGTGAGCAGTGCGCACGCATCAGGTTCGTGGCCAGTCTTCAGTGATACCTTCAAGTAAGTTCGCAGAAGGGTAATGGCAAGAACAGTGAAGAAACTGATAGAGCAGCAGACCTGTGTCGCCACTAGGTGCCTACGAAACGCAATGGGCCTGTCCTACCTGCCTTACCTGCAGTCTACCCCGGCTGACATTACACGAACGGTCGCTACAGTAGGTCTGCTGCCTCTGTTCATCATTCACTTTGATGGTTTTCGGTGCCGGGCTGCTCTTCCTCCATTGAGTCACCTGGGTAATTGGTCCGCCCTCCGTAACCGCTTGTTTGCGGGGCTAGTACGTGAAGGCAGGCGCGGACTGTCAACACCACGCCATCATCGCCCCAAGCCACGTCCTTGACCATATAAGCCCGGCCGACCTCGTTCTACTCCTTCTTCGTCACTCGTTGAAATACTCTCGCTCCTTAGATTGCCTCTCATTAATTTGCTCCAAACCTGTACACATCATCACGAGTCGACTGCACCTGCTGTCCGAACAACTCATACCTATTGAATCTCGCCCTTGGTCCTACACCCTACAAACAGATACCCAATATCTCTGCCGAAACCTAGTCATGAAGATTCTCGCTTCCCTCCTTGCTCTCACGGCAGCCACAGCTGTCGCCGCTCCCGCCAATGAGATCAGGCGCCGCGATCTCGCTGCCGACGATGCTCCTCATCAGGACGATCCGAACTTCATTAGCGCCGTCATGCGGGCTCACTGGTACTGGCGCAGATTGCATTGTGCACAGGACCTTGTTTGGGATACTGAGCTTGCCAACGCCGCGCGTGCTGATATCTCAGAGTGCCCAAAGGACCCCGAACATGTAAGCAGCGGGCACGGCAATGACAGAGCATGGCTGATATTCGTAGAAACGCTCCGGCAGCAATCTCTCGTCCGTGAACCCACCCCCTGAAGGTTACGATGCTTGGGTCGAGTTCGCTCGCACTGCTACCCACGGCTGGCACGAGGAGGAGACCAAGTACCCCTACGACAACCCACACTTTGATCCTGCATGGGGCCACTTCAGTCAGATGGTCTGGCGTAACAGCACGCGTCTCGGATGCGCCCTTGGTCACTGCCCCAGCGACGTCAACTGGCCGGGACGCTTCTACTGCTGTGAGTTCCAACTACAGGATTGTAGGTGTGACAGTGCTGACAACCACAGACTACTCGTTCTTTGGCAATAATATTGCGGCTGGGCAGTTTGAGGCTCAAGTTTGGGCGCCTGTGTGCAAAGACCCTGACGTTGCTGAGGTCACGAAGCGCGAAGACGTCAATTTCAACTGGGCTCGCGTTTGAGATGCCCACGCTTGCTTGTCACACAACTCTGCGTACCGCCTGCGTAACGGGACTTACGACAGCCTAACCTTTCTCTCATCACGATGTTTGGCGCTATACCCTATTCACGGATCTTTGTTCACACATACCTTGTCTACTTGGAGATTTGCTGCCGCTTGTCTGGCATGACTTACTATATCACTGGTTCTGGCAACACTGGTGGTGGTGAGACGTGATGACTATTACTAGTAGTCGACTGTTACCAGCTGTTGAAATGCGTCAGGTAATGAATCCGGCATAGCTTGCTGGTCATTGTTAGAGGAGATTCCACGTCCTGGGAATAGACAAATTCTTCATGATTCTTGCTCTCAATATCCAAGCGTTATTCCATGAGTCATGACGAGAAGCATCATCGATCTAGGCTGAAGGTTCTCCAGAAATCCACCGCACTGAACGACGGACGGCAATCATGTTTATCCAATGCAGCATAATAGAACAAAGATCCAGACAAATCAAAAGATTATGTACTGCCTACTTACACAATTCAATCAAAAGCTGCAATGCCTTCACATCCTCGAGAATATCCATGGAACACGATCATTGGCACAGGAGTGTTTCTAGGTGAATAGTTTGAGGATAGGAACGAGAGGAAAGAAAGAGATATATGGGACGCTGAGGGGCTGTGCTATGAGAGCTGGAAGTAGATGGGTTATCGAAGATGCTATCTGCAGGACACATCTCATGACCTCAAGAGATAGTAAATATACATCCAAAGGCGAGATAAGAATCTTTGCGAAACCATTCCACAAGCGTCGCATAACCCTGACAAGTAAAATGGACACCCTGGCAAAGAATAGGGCCGAGTGAAGTGGAGTGCTTGTGGACTTATTGAATCACTAAACATAGAAGAAGAAGCAAACACTGGAATGACTCTCTTGAGAACGCATCGACACGCAGCTATACAAGCTAAGTGCTTGGTGTTGAGAACCAGTTCAGCCTCATGCACTGCACGGGTCCTCGCGATCGGATCATGCGGCCGGGCATTTCCGCGGATCGCGAAGCAATAATCGGTCCTACAAGAGACGGCAAACCCCCATGATCTCCATCTTACACATAACCATCAGCAAGACCCTTAATTATCCACTCTTCCCATCTCACTTTTTCGTCCCATGCCATCAAAATTCCATGTTGAGAAACATGGACATCCTCAGCCACCAGTCGGTCATGAGCGGGCGATCCCTGCATAACGGCCATGCGCCAGTGGACTTATTGCATCATTGAACGCCACCACGGCCTCGATCTCGCCTCTGAGCAGCGAAGAGCCGCGACGCGCGACAGGCAAGCCATCTCAGGGCCCCCACTAATGAGGCGTGCTTTTGTCTGCCCTGCGATCAAAGATATATCGATCTATGGCGTGCGAGGGGCGCGGAGATGGATCCGCGTGGGCTTAACACGAGCGACAGGCACGAGAGAGTCTAGCCCTTTGGCTCCCTGGCACTGGCCTGCACCTTCCTCGTGGGTCTCGCGCGTGCAAGTACAGTGGTTATCGGGTTTTAAGGTTGCGCCTGCCTCCTGTTTCCGCCGCGTTTGACGGATTGGCTGCTAAACGATCGACAAACACTACCACAGACGATTCAATTGCCACCCAGTACTACAACAAGAGTCGCCTTTATCGCCCAAGATGCTGGAGAAGCAGCAGCATGCGCTGCGGGACGAGGGCAGAGACGCTGTGCCGAGGCTACCTGTCTCCCTGTCGGGTGAGATTAACGCTGGTACACGGTATGCTTGTCTTCCTTCCTAACCATGGCCCTGGAGTGAGGGCAGGATGCTAATACCACACGTCTAGATCTCTCCACACAAATCTCAACCGTCTCATAACCTCGCGCCTTCCGCTTGCGCTCCCGCCGTACACTTCCGACCCCACATTCTACGCAACTGGCCTGCTACACTTTGCGCACATCTTCCTGACTTTTGAGTCACTGTGGGCTGATCTGTTGCGCGACCATGCTCCAACCTCGCATACCGCCTCCCCGCACCCCGCAGTCGACTCCGAGACCGCCTCTCCGCCATTCTCGCCACTGCTCTCGTATCTCCTCGTAAACCCATACGACTCACCTTCACTCTTCACATCAACCTTGGGTGCGCCGACTGCGCCTTCTCCACAACTTGCAGCCTTTCTGCAAGTGCTGCGACCGCGAGGATTGATCCGGTCATCACGGCTAAAGAGAGATTTGGAGTATCTCCTAGGCGTCCACCCCACGGACCTCGAAGTCCTGCTAGCCAAATATCCCGGAGACAAGGTCGCCGACTTCTGCACGCATATCCGAAGGAGCGTCAACGAGAAGCCTTGGACGCTCGTCAGCTATGCCTGGTGTTTTTACATGGCCGTCTTCTCTGGAGGCCGTTGGATACGAAGCGTGCTCTACAAGGCACCACCAGGCTTCTGGCCCGAACAAGATAGTGAGCGCACGACATTAGAAGAACGCGGTTTGTCATTCTGGCATTTCTTCGGTCCCCATGATGGAGAGGATATCAAGGCAGAATTCAAGGCGCAGTTACTCGATGCGGAGACTCTCTTTACACCGGACGAGCGCGTCGATATCATTGAGGAAGCAAAGAATATCTTCCGTCTCTGCGCTACACTGGTAGATGAGCTGGATGAGTCGATCGGCACCGATATGGCGCAGTTTGTTGCGACACCCGCAGTTCATCCTGAGCCCAAGGCTTCGACCGAGAAAGCGATCCTCATCGATACCAACGTCACAGTTGTCGAAAACATGACCAAGTCCAGTGACCCGTTCAAGACATTTTTCAGGAGGCCAGAGGTCACGGGTACCCTTGTCGCTATTGGCTGCCTAGCCGTGGTCACGCTGTTCAAGATCCAGTGAGACACAACGACATACGTCTGACATAACGACTGACTCTCTTTTTGTTTTCATCACATGCTCATGAGTTTTGCTTTCCACGATTAGCGCTAATGTCTTCAACTGACACGGTGCGGTCTCTAACGGGCGGGAACGAGGCGTCACGACTGCTTCTGCTTTTCATTTTTCTCTCCATAGCATGTGGCATACTTTGGAGTTTAGTTATCTTTGGGCGGGCCAGGATCAGCCTGTCATTCGGTGGAGTTCTTTCCTACTTGATTTTATCCGGCGGTTTACTTGACGTCATCTCAAACGATCAGTGCATGGTAATATGGCGTCCGATACCCCCTGTAACAGTTCGTAGGATACATGCTTTAGTTTCGTTTTACTGTCAGCCTGAAGATGTCACCTATGATGAGATGCTTGCACATGATCGTCACGTCACGCACAGTGGCTCTTGTTATTAAGGAGAGACGGTTTGTATTAGGTTTCCTTAGAGAGATTCAAGAAGTACATGGATGATGTTGCCTGTCGCTGACTTTGCGCTCTGCTAGAAGAAAAAGAAAGACAACTTGGTGGTCGTTACATGTTTTTGGATCTTTTGTGGTATGCCAGGAAGGGAATGACAAAAGAAACAACCTTCTCTTTCAGGTCAGACAGCTGTGCTGTACAACTGGCCTTTTCATTATTTCTTGCAGTATCCGTTCTTGCATGTCTTCCCACCCTCGCACTTGGTTCCGCAACTTCCGCAGTTATAGTTATCCTCCTTAAAATCCTTCCAGGGCTTGCATTTTCCCTCGCAGAACACGGGCTTGTCGACAGGGCATTTGCATTGCCCATGCTCGCATTTCTTCCCACCCTTGCAGGTATCACCGCATTTTGAGCAGTCTTCGTCTGTACCCCAGGTATTTTTCTTGCACTTACCGTTGCAAAGCTCTTCTCCATACTTGCACTTTAGTACACATTTCTTATCCTTGCATGTCGTTCCCTCTGGGCATTTGTCGCCGCATTTAGAGCAGTCTTCGTCTGTACCCCAGGTGTTCTTCTTGCACACATCTTTGCAAAGCTCTTCCCCAGGCTTGCACTTTAGTACACATTTCTTATCCTTGCATGTCTTTCCCGCTCCGCACTTGTCGCCGCATTTAGAGCAGTCTTCGTCTGTACCCCAGGTATTCTTCTTGCAAATGCCGTTGCAAAGCTCTTCTCCATGCTTGCACTTCGGAACGCACTTCTTATCCTTGCTGCATGTCTCCCCGTATTTGCATGTATCTCCGCATTTTGAGCAGTCTTTGTCGGTACCCCAGTTTTTGTCCTTGCATTCCCCATTGCAAAGCTCCTTTCCATGAGGGCATTGCAATGTGCACTTCTTGTTCTGGCATCTCTCATTGGACTTGCACTTATCTCCACATCCTGAGCAGTCCGTGTCGGTACCAAGGGCCTTGCATGTTCCATAGCAGTCAGTAGACTTGTCAGCAGGGCATTTGCATTCCTTGCTCTGACACGTCTTTCCTCCTGTACACTTTGAAATGTCAGCATGTGGAGCTTCTCTTCATCATCAAACACTTACCTCTTTGCAGACGCCACCACACGGCACTTTCTTGTTCGAAGGGGGAGCTGCAGGGCCGCATTCATAGCAAGGCCCCTTTCCCTTGAGAGACTGGAGAATGCAATCCAACCCGTAAAGTGGAGTATTGGCTCCACACCATGTTGTGCAAGCGGTAGTTCGTTTGGCCTCCGAATCGGGGAATGCGATACTAGAGCAAGCTATGCCGGAATATTATCAGCATGGATCGTTGAGTTACGTTCCTGCTGCCTCTGGAATACTGACCGAGAAGGAGTAGAGCGAACACACTGAGTCTAGGCATCTTGAATCGAAGTCCGGTGAGGATTGAAGTCTGGTATGGTGGCACTTCTCTGCGTGCTCAAATTCATAACGCGAGATTCTCTCCTTATTTATGCGTTCGCCATGCGGCTCAGAAAGCGGAGTCGGGATCTAGACTTGTTTTGGAGGTCTTGTCAATAAGCCATCTTCAGCTTCAGAGCTGCTGGTCTGCAGTACCACATCGTCATCATGTCGAATCCGTCGGGCATGGCATCCGCATTTCAGTGGGTTGGGTCTGATCCATCTCTTTATGATTGGCAGGCAATTCGACGCCTCCAATATCAGCGAGGAGTTGTCGAGCGCACTAGGTTCGAGGTACAGTTGGAAACGTAATTAGAAACGTCGAGTTCGGGTCGCGGGAGATGGCCAAGAGTCTTCTATACTAGCCACGTCCATCTGGGTATGAAGGTTGGAATCTCGCGACACTGACGATCAGCGAGAAAGGCGCTTTACATAGCGCTAATGCAATGCAGATCAGGTTCGAAGCAGTTCGTAAGTTCGTAGTAAAGTCTCCGCTACAAGCCGAACCCCGCTTCCAAGATATGTGGCTGACTTCTTAGTAGCAGCTAGAGCTGAAGCTGAAAAAGAAGACCTATGGTGTTTGCAAGATGTTCGTATAGCTAGAGCTTACACACAGTCACTATTCTTTCGGTCCCGGACATTGCATCGCGCGGAACCTAAACCCCGCAGTGATCTTGACCGCATTGGACTTTCTTTTTGTCGTTTCAGCTACATATCAGGACGGCAATGTCTTGGCGTTCACAGATATGGCAGAAACATTCAAGCCAGCGATGTCTCTGCCAACCGCAAGATCGACCAAGCTGTATTGCCAAGCAATGCGAGCAGCGTATAAGCCCTAACCTCTATCATCTTGTCTTGGCTCAGTCGAAAACCACCATGAGCTACCTTAGATCTTTGGCTAGCTTGCAGACACGCCTGAGCCCAGCCTAGCTTGCATTCCTTGAGAACATAGATGTGCCTTTTGGTCTGCTGGAGGCTTGTAGCCTGTAGGGCGATCCCCGTCTGCATTCCCACTGACCTGAACTTTGCGTATCGCGATACTACGTTGTCTAGATTCTGAGTCATCTTAGGCATAGTGGAATGTGTTCCAAAGGGAAGAGGGGTTGTATTCATTCTGTCTAATAAGATAAATATAGGCATATATGACGTTGCTGGTGTATACGTGTCTCCAAGGAGATAGAGAAAGGTACATGGCCATCGTTACATGTTTTTTAGTGTTTTAAGAAGACAAAGCCGATGTGCTTGCCGCCTCTTCTTTACAAATGTTTTTGGTACGTTTTAGTTCTCCAGAAAAAGGAAAAATACAAAGGAAATCTACCCATCGTGGCTAAATGACGCATAGTTTATAGCCGACGTACTGTCTTGGTTTATCTCATGTCGAATATGTGGCCCTACTGCTGATCCAGATTGTTTCGAGTGCCCATATCGAAAGAACCATCCGTGCCATGGACTTTGCGCAAATGGGTTCGGAGATCGTTCTTGCGAAAATAACCTTTGCCATTGACGCGATCGCACCCTGGTTGTGGGCAGGAGAATTTGGATTCGTCATGCTCAGTGCGCATGTGGTCGATCCATTTCTTCGAGGATTGGAAGGCACGTGGTGTAGAGAGGTCTAATTTTCCAGATGGATTTGATTTGATGCAGTCTGCCTTTGGACACCACCTACGATCGTAGTCGAGGAAGGCTTCATCTTCACCAATGTGGTGGTAGTTCCGAACGTGCTGGGTGAGATGGTCTTTGCGTTTGAAGCCATTCTTTCCTCTGTATTTCTTGCAGTATTTGCAGGGGAAACGTCTGGCGTCCTCTTGATGAGTTCGTCGATGTCTGTTGTATGTGTCCGGTCGGGTGAATCCTTTTTCGCAATCTTCTTGCTTGCAGATGAAAGCGGTGTGACCAAAGTCGGAAGCATGTTGCTCTAAATCCCATGTAGACATGAACACTTCCTGGCACTGATCGCATGAAGTCATTCCGTGATGCATATTCTGCATATGTTGTTTGCCATCTTGTGCTGTGACATAGCGGAAGCTACAGAATTGTATGCCACACTTCTTTATGGCATGATACAGTTGTGACTGTGGCGCTGCAAAGCTAGCAGGCCTGATCTTGACAGCCTGGTCTACTGTAGGAAGAAAGCTCGGTCCAAAACCAACGGTGCTACCATAATAACAATTAGACTTAATTAATACAAGAGTACTGAATGACCTACCTTTCAGTGGAGCCAACTTCCGGGACCGTGGTATTCGAGTAGCTATTCATATCTTGAAGTGCAGCATCATTCCTGGAGAGCTCAAACCCTCCCAGCGGGGCTGGCATAACCGGTTTAAGCCAGCCTACATGAGTCTCGGGAGGAATGTAGTCGTTTGGAGCGATATGGTCTTGGACCCCTGTACGCCAGTCGAATGTGTTCGGTGTCGTGATCCAGCTTTGAGGGAAATTGTACGCCTCACCATCCCAGTCCGGATAACCAATCGGAAAACACAGAGGGGTCTGCAAGGTGGTGTCCTGGATGTTGCTGTGCCACGCCCTTTTTGTTAGCAGAGTGTAAAAAAAAAAGCTCACCCAAAGTCCTGCAACTGGAAGTCGTCCATGATTGGCAGGAAAGAAGAAGGCTGCGTGTGCCTAACCGAAAACGTCGAGGCGAAGCAAGCCACAAATGTCGATGCGTTGGCAGTCGTAAAGCAGCGTAGGAAGGCTGAGGTAGTGTTGGTACGGATAGTGTAAGATTTTGGTGAGAACAACAAGCAGGATGCTTCGATAATACATACTTGGAGCCGGCTAAGCCCCTCGCTGCTTTAAGCAAGAAATGGAAAAGGGCAAGAGCTATTAGCTACTGCATCTTAGCTGCATGTTCAGCTACGTAGAGCTTGGGTGATTGGCTGCGACACGCGAAAGGGCCATGGCCCTTTTTTGGTGCGAAGGATGAACGTAGTGGGGGCTGAGAACTGAACGCGCAACTATGGGCGACCCACACGTAGGCTGATAGGTGCGAAACATACGCTTGTGGCTTCAGCCGTAGGAAATTTGTGTCAATGAGCGATTCAAATCAACAGGTGACCAAGGATATTAGCCATTTTATTGAGACGCAAGCAGGCAATGACTTGTTTCGCACGAAGACCTCAATCGCACTTACCCTGTCTGGCCGACACTCACTCTACGATAATGGAACCCAGTAGCAGGCTATCTGGCTGAGAAGCAAAGGACAGGTGCACAGTATTCGCGCAGTGGTGTGAAGAGGAATCGGCTACTGAGATGTAAGTGTAGAACCTGCTATGCTTAGGCTGTATGCTAACTTGACAGAGTATCCACTGCTAGGAAGGATGATTAGTCGGAACGTAAAGATAAGTATCGCAAGAGCGTATACAAATCAGAATATCTAAGTAGTATGACACATGTACTCATACAGCTCATAATCGAATGCGAAACCCATTGAGCACCATCGCAACTCTTTCCTTGTGGTGAAATGATGCTGAAGTAATCCGTCAGGTCATGGAAAGCTGAAGATAACGCTAGAACGGACGACTGCAGCCCCCTCAACCTTCTTGAACCGCTACCCTCCCACTGCATGGTCTGGCGCAAATGGGTCGAAAGGTATCACAACCTGCTTCTTCCCAAACGCCTTCTTCAATCCTTCTTTCATCCTCTCCCACCTAGTCATTCCCTTCCTCTTAGCGTGCTCGAAGGTCATATAACTCTTATCGATCTCCTTCAGCCGTGTCGCTTCTTCCTTTTCAAATTGCTCAGCGCGCTCTCGTAGCCCATTGATAACGTGCTGACGAAGACGATAGTTGGCAAACGTCGTGTCGTGCTCTGGATGCAAGGCGAGTATCTCCGGGATCTTGGAAATAGCAAGACCGGATTCGTTGATTCGATGATAGAGGAAGGATTCAAGGTCTTTGGGGCACCAGGAGGGCTGCGCTGGGATGCCGACAAAGGTTGCACGGATAGCGCGGACAATGCCAAAGTCGGTTATCTCGCCAGCGTCGTATTGTTCGAGTAGGTCGCAGATGAGCTGGCCGCGGTGTAAGAGGCGGACTTCGCGGTGTGTCCACTCGCACTTGTAGTCTGTCAGATTTGGAGGGAGGAGCCAGCCCTCCTGCGTGATCTTATGGGCTTCATAGAAGTCGTTGAATTTGTTACGGGCATTGGGAAAGAAGTATCCTTTCCAAAACTTCTGATCGTAGACTGCGGCTTCAACTAGGATGCGAAGGTAGTGGTATAGCTCATGCTGACTCTCACCGTTAGTCTGACGAGATGGAAAGGACGTAATACCCCGGCTAGCCTGCCGAGGGATGTCGAAGATGGCAGCCGCAGTGGTATTGCGCCGATGAGCGTGCTTGTTTCTCGAGCCTTGAACATAATGTACACCCTGCTCAAACTCTTCTAAAGATACGGTGACAGTAGCGATGGACTTGGCCTGTGCTTTTGTAAGGATGCCTTCCTCGCCAAGGCCATGCATAAAGATCTCGAAGTGCTCTGGCTTCAGTATGTGTCTACGGTCCTCAGGGAAAAGCTGTGCGACGATCATCTCGTGATCCTCGCTGTTCATAAGTCGACGCTCGACGAGCTCAGCGTTGTTGACTACCGCATTGTATCGTATGATCCAGTTACGCTCAACAGAGCCTTTGGGCATATCGCTCGCACGGACACTTATACCGTTGATGTTGAAGGTGGCATCAGGTATATCGCCATCAGCGTGGCGGGCTTGAAGATGGAAGTGGGCGTTGATCTGATCCATGATGTCGATGTTGGTAGGACAGCCATCTGCTGCAAAGAAGGTGAGATCTTTGATGGCTTTGCGTCGACGTAGAGCCTCGATTTCCTGGTTTGCGGTTCTTAGGCTGGTTCGACGGAGGGTAGACGGAGAGAGACTACTCGGGAGACGAGCTATATTATGACCATCCCCGGGACCGTTCTTCTTTAGAACGATTCCTAAAGGCTTTAGACGTTCGCCGGTATTCGCCC